CAGCCCTCTCCTCAAGGCAAAGGGCCTCCTAGGAACCCATGACTCTGGTCACGCCCCTCCCTAAGCTTGTGGTTTTTGCCTTTAAAAATGCCTGTGCTTGGGGGACAGGGCTGCTCTCTAGCCTGCATGCTGGGAGAGCCCATTTGTACAAACGTCCACCTTTCTCATTAAAGCCTCTTGCTGTTTGCATCAAGAGTTTGCTTCCTCATGTTGACTGGGGTGGTTGCAGTCCTGGGAAAAGATTCTGGAGGCCTGAGCTTCCGGGGGTTCTTACAATTCGTAGCTATCACCACTTCACATGGAAAAAGAAGTACCAAATCGAGCACTACACATCTGGAGAAAAAATGGAAACAGCTAGGGTGGGAAAGAACTGTTTCAAATTTCTTTAAGTTGTCTGTTCTCACAACTCCCTCTTATTCATCACTAGAATTAGTGTGAAGGTTCCCTGAACACCTGGTGAAATTATATCCTGACTTCAGTTTTATAGTTTGTGTCAGTGCCCAAAACTAAACAGAACAAAAGCCAGATCAGGGTGGAGGGCAGCTAGCTGAAGAGCAGCAACTACAGACTGAAAGGTTCAGGCATTATGCTGGCCTGCCCCTGTTACCTGGTGGAACAGGCAGTATCCTGGTCAGCCCAAGGTTCCATGGGAACTGAGTCTGCACGCAGGTGCAGAGGACCCCTTTAAAAAGACAGATCCCTGCCCATTTACTCTCTCTCTGCTTCCTCTCGGCTTCCGCTCTGCTTCCCCTCTCTACTCTCTCTCACCTATGTGCTCTCTATGGCGACTGGCCATGGCAGTCAGCCATTATCCCTGTTCCTTTCCTCTTCTTAGTCTCCCTACTCTGCCAGGCCTTCTAATACTTATAGTCAACATGTCTCATGTCTCAGCATTTCTCTTTTCTTCTTTTTAAACAAAAGAATAACACAGACTACAAGCAAATATTCTACCACTGTCTTTTTTCTCTTCAAAATCCATCTACATCTCCTAGGAAAGGTCTTTGCAAACCACAAAAACTACATTTAATAGTGTTGGGGGGGCAATGAGAATAGCAAAGGAAACATTCAGATTAAAATTACCTCGTTGATCAGAGCGGAGCTAAAACGCAAAGATAAAAACAAGCTGAATGGTTTAAAGGCGCCCATGGGTCAGGTTCTGCCTTCCTATAAAATCCCTTCACCCCAGACAAAATGCTTAGCAGCCAAGACTTGACTTAATTTCCCAGACAAGAGACCAGACAGAAACGAACCAACCCAGAGAGTACTTGAATAGAGGACACACCAAATACTAGTGCCCAGAAAGCAAGCCTTCATGTACTGGGAAGAGGGCCCCCTGGTGTGACAGCTGAGCTCACAGGCTGTCCTACTTCCTCAGGGCTCTCAGTCAGCTTTTTGTGGACAGCCTGAATGCAGCCACTTATGGTACATGTCCCAGAAGCAGAGCAGAGCATTTAGCCAGTGCTGCCTGTCCACCCAGAGATGGCTCAGGATTATATTATTCTTGCAGACATAAAAAAGAGTCTTTGCAAAAACAGACAAAAAAACTGAAAGCATGACTGCTAATTTTTTTTCCCTTTAAAATCAACCTCTTACTCAGTTTTAGGTCCATGGGTGTAAGGAGACAATCTCATAGAGCTTCACACCTCCTCAGCCTCTCCCACTACTCCGTGGTACGTTCGTTACAACTGATAAACTCTCAGAGACTCACTGACTCAAAGTCTGCATTTACATTAAGCTTTGTTCTTAGTGTAGGTATGGCAAATAGCAAATGCCACCAGACTGAACATTTTAATAAAATAAGAGAAAATAAAATCCAAACCACAAAGTCGACAAAGAAAGGAAGGAGTCCATAGAGAAGAGAAAATGAAGAAATACGGAACAAACTTTGCAGAACAGGAGGTTTTTTAGGCTGAAAGGGAGCATGAAGGAGCCCAGTTAAACCAATGAACAAAACCCAAACTTGGGTCTAGGGCCCCGCAGTGCTTCTGGGGAGGGCTGTGTCTTAAAATAACTTTGAAAAAGGATGCCCAGCTTCTCTCAAAAGGAAGAGAAATGCAAATTAAGATTGAAATAAGATTTCACTTCTCTCACGAATTCACTTGTCAAGACTCAGACTCGATAGTGCACTGTATTGGAGTCACCATGAAGAAGATACACTTCACTGTCTTCTACGAAAAAGTACAAATGGAATAAACACCATAGAAAGCAATCTGGTGCTGGTCTGTGGCCGTACACACCTTTAATCCCCAAATATACCTTTAATCCCAGCAGGTCGATCTCTGAGTTTGAGGCCAGCCTGGTCTACAAAGTAAGTTCCAGGACAGCCAAAGGTATACAGAGAAACCCTGTCTCAAAAAAAAAAAAAAAAGAAAAGAAAAGAAAAGAAAGAAAGAGAAAAGAAGAGGAAGGAAGGAGAAAACCTGGCAGCATTTAGTAAGATTTCAAATGCTCAGCCTCCGCCCTGACCACTCCTTCTCTAGGAAGTCCCTCTTTAGACATCTGTGAGAGGACATACGCAGCAGCATTTTTCATGCTATCCTTCTAACAAAAGATTAGAAACAAAACTGAGCTTCCCTATGGGTGCTGGCTAAATGCATTGTGCTATGTTCCTATATATTCAGCAATTGCAGAAGCACATGTGGGGATTTCCCTCCATCCACCTTTTAAGGGAGTCACTGGCAGTGGCAGGACGCTCAGAAAGGGGGCAGATGAAATATGAAAACCTGCCATTAGAGGAATAGGCTGGGGAGGGGCATTAAAGTGAGAGAAAAGTCCCACATAGGAACACACTGTCCATCTTCTGTCACACTGGTCAGGTTCAGAGGCCAGCACAGGGACCATAGGGTTTCGTGGAGGTTTTAACTCAGTGTGAAGGCCTGCTTAAGAATGAGAGCTGTAAAGCACACACAGAGTCATTCTGTGCTCCGTGGCTGCAGGCAATGTTCAAATGCAGACTTCCTGAGCAGGGAAGTGCTTTTCAAACTGTGGTGAGCTCAGGGCTTCTTCAGGAGGGACGGCATTCTTAAAAGAGTTGATTTCAACTTCATCCTCAAAGTATGTTTTAACCATTACATCTTTTAGTTTTCAAAGCTAGAGCACAAACACCTGGGTTTCATCATGGGCCTTCCTGTAGTGTCATTATCTAGTCTAGTCGTTCCTCCCTACTGACCTTCCCTCTGCTCCTTGCCCCCAGGGCTGGCTGGCTCCTTTCCTCTCCTGGTCTTCCCCTTGCTTTCCTGTCTCTCACATTCTATTACCCCTCCCTTTACTTCCTCTCCTTTAAGATATATCCATCTCCCTGCCTGATTCCCCTTCCTACCCCTCCTTCCATATATGGATTCTAGAAGTATCTGGCCTGACTTATATGACCTAACATAATGATTTCCACTTTTATCCTTTTTCCTGAAAATGTCATGATTTAGTTCTTTACAACAGCTAGTAAATTACAAAGGGAAATTGGAATGTTTGAACTAACATATAGAGATCTTCTTATTTTCCAGAGGTCTTCTAGGTTCTTAGCAAACAGTGAGGGAGGCAGAGATTCCCATATGCTCCTTGCCCCATCCATGGACAAGCCCTTCTCCCCCAGCAGTTGATTTAAATCTGTTGGTTTAAACTTCATCCTCAAAGCATATTTTAGCCACTACACCAGAAAGCTCCACTTGCTGCTCGGAATCTACACAGGCATATCACTGCCACTCTGTCAGGGTTACCAGTACCATGACACAGCTGCGGTTTGCCACCCCAATAATGCTCTGAAATCAGGTAGTCATTCTTCCTGTCCCTCAACTCCTGGCTACCACTGAGTTTATATTACTGGCCCCATCATTTCCCATTATGAATGTCCTCAACGTTTGTTGTTTTTCTTTTACTTAATTATAGTCACCCTAGTGGAGATGAAGTAGTGTTTTATTTGGTCTTGATTTGCATTTTCTTAATGACTAACCATGTTAGGAATCTTTTTATCTGCTTGCCTGTCATTTGTCTTCTCTAGAGAAAGCTATTCAAGTACTTAGCTCATTTTAAAATTGGATTTTTATATATCTTGAACACTAGACTTTTCTCAAGTATATGACCAACAAATATTTTCTTCCAATCTATATATAGCTTGTCTTCACTTTTTTGTGGGGGTAATGTCCCATGATTTATAAAATGTCATGGTGTCTTACTTTTGGTATCTAAAAATCCACTGCTAAACCCAAGGTCCTCAATACTTAACC